GTGAGTTGCTGAAAACCCAGCAGCTGCTTCAACTCGAGGGGAATGAAAGAAGCCCATGGAGTTCTAAGTGTGCCCGAGATGCAGGCGTCCCTACTCACAAAGAGTAGAGTGCGCCGGCCAACCGCGGCTCGGCGCGCTCCAGGAGCACCCGGCCAATCCTGCTTCCATTTGTATTCCTTATGTTCCAGTGAAAATCGCTGGCCGGAAAAGAAAGTGAATGTGTGCAAGCCTCTGTGATCTGTGAGCTTTCCAACATCCCAACACCGGCAAAAAAGCCCCTCCTAGGTTGGAAGACGCCCTCCGACTGCTCCCTAGGAAGGGCGGTATTCTCGCCCCAAAGGGGGTTCAAGCTGGAATCCCCAGGCCAGGAGCTGGACACGGTCTTGACAGGGTCTTTACCATCTACAGCTGAGCCCCGGTGCCATAAACCTCCGGCTAGGAGCTTGCCCGCCGGTGGCTCCGAGCCCCAAGAAGGCAGCCACCGCAGGGCTCCCTTCCAGGACAGGGGGAGGAGGGGGATGAGAGCAGGGCAAAGGCTCGGCTCTGGAATCCATTGCAATTCCAAACTTAAATGGTACGCCACGCGCTAGCTCCACTGAGCGCCAAGGAAAAGAACACAGGGAAAAAGCAATTGAACCCTGGCACTTCCTCTAGACCGCCGAACCCCCACCATACCACTCCACAGGAAACCCCTCATCTCCCAAAAGGCGAACCGGATCAAAATACCTATCGTCTCAACGCACTTATCCGCTCTGCCCTAAATCCAAGCGTTGTCTGGAGCGCGATCGCGATGGGCTGGACCCCAAGCACCTCTGTGGACCACCCAGCCTCGCACCCCCGTCCCCAGGACACCTACCTTGCAGCGCAGCTCCCGGCCGGTGTGGATGCACAGCGCCCGGGACACATGCTCGCGCTCGGCCAGGGGCAGCAGCAGGTAGTCGGCGATGCGGCTGGGCCCGGGTGCGCTCCCGCAGCCGCCACCGGTCCCCGGAGCGGCGGGCGGCGGCTGCGGGCTGCAAGGCGAGCCCGGAGGGCTGAGGTAGTCTGGGGGACTCGAGCACTCGGAGAGGCGCGGGCACTTGGCCGCCACCGCCGCCGCGTCGTCCGCGTCCAGCAAGCGTTTGGCCGGGGTGCCCCGGGCGGCCGGGAACAGTAGGGCCACACCGCGGGGTTGCGAGGCGCCGCTCATAGCAAAGCGCACGGGACCGACCCGCATCGCGTTCCCGGCCGGAGCGGCCCCGGCTTTGTAGGTCCCGGGATCGGCGGCGGAGGATACTTAGTGCTCCGCGTCGACGCTGCGACTTCTTCCAGTCCACGGGATGGAGTTTGCAGACTGAGCTTGGATCGGCCCCCAAGAGGGGCAAAACGGTTGCGGCTCCTAGAGACGCTGGTGTTGCACCCAAGGACCACGCTGGCCGCGCGTCCCAGGGGTCGGAGGCCGCCGCCTGGGGTCCCCGGACCCCGGCAGGCACCAGATCCGGGCGCCTCGCTGGGGGCGGCCGCCGCTATTGTTGCCGAGGCTGTGAATAGTCCCAAGGGTGGAGGCGGCCGGCGTTCCCGGCGTCCTGAGCCGCGAGGACAGGATTCCACTGGCTCGGCTGTAGCACCGAACAAATGCACTTCCCAAAGCAATTAGTCTCCAGCAGCGCCGGAGCAACTTTTCCGCGGTGCTCCGGATCCTGCGCGCTCCTGGACTCCGAGTGTGTAGCGAGCGAGACGCGCTCGGAGACAGTGACTGAGTGTGAGTGTGTGCGCCGCACTGATCCCGGCCAGTGCACTCCTCCTTCTCCTTTTCCTCCACCTCCTCCGCCTCCCGGTGACTCACGCTGTATACACACACACACACTCACAGGCCGGGCTGTGTAAACAGTTGGGAAGCCGGGTTGTGCAACGAAGTGGCTGCGACGACTCCGGCCCGGATCGCAGTCACCAGAGCTGAAGGAGACTGGGGGGAGGGGATGTGGAATTGGCGGTTGGGAGGACCCGAGGAGCCCCAGGGCTGGTGATGCTCCGGGCGGCGCGCGCCCCGCCGCAGGTGGGACCTTCCTGGGCCGTCCAGAGCGCGCGCACACGCCCCCCAGGCTGGGCTGGGCAGGAGGCTGCGCGCTCCTTTCCGCAGGCACCGGGGCTCCGCGCTGGAAGCTCAAGGAGGGGGCGGAGGAAAAGTTCCCGTGACGTCAGGGTTCCGGGGAAGTGGGTGGGAGGGGCGGAGCCTCAGGGTGAAACGACCTGTGATTGGTGCGCGCGCCTCATTCACACAACACAATGGGTGGCGAGCTCCCGGCGGGTGCGCGCACTCGGGGGGCTCCGCACCCTCCGGTGGGTGCTGCGCAGCGGTCATGCCTTTAGCCCGGGGGATCCTCCGTGCCACTGTGCTTCAGGGGAGCTCCGGGTGGAGCCGTGGGCGCCGCCGAGGTCGGGCTGTAGCCGGGAGGAAAAGGGGAGAGGGAAGGTGATAAATTCCAGAATCAGTCATTCACCCCCCACGCGGTAGTTCCGGGGAAGACCTGTGCGTGGTAGTGAATGTGGCTTTTTTTTTTTTTCCTTTTCCTGCTCCCTCCCAGCTCTAATCCTCAGCGTCTGTTCGCTTCCACAAATAGAACCTTCTGTTGGATGAAATAAAAGCAAACACTGGGCCTTCTGCTCTGCCTCCACCTCCACGCCCCTCCCGCGCCTGCAGCCCGCCCGGATTGTACGGAAATAGCTTCTCCTGGCTCCAGGGCCGCCCCTTCGCGGTGACTCGCAGAAAGCGAGCTTCCTGAGCCAGGGCCGGTGGGAAACAAAGGATGTGGGGAGCGGGCGGAAGGGGCCCACGTGGCCGCCGCCGGATTCCTGTCCCCCTCCCCGCCTCCGTCAGCGCCTCAGGGTCTAGAGCGGCAGTGCCCGCCAGAATATTGGAGTATATGTCATTCTCACCACCTCCAGGGTTACTACTGCCTGTAGCCTGACAAGGTCGCGTGTGTGCTTTCGTGCAACGTGATCTGGATGATCTGGAAGCTCTAGCCGACCTTGCTTTTTGAAAGCAACTTGGAATCTCATTTTGTGTTTGGGTTTTTTTTTTCCTTGCGCAAACGAGGTCAGTTTGGAGTCCCTGGGTATTATCGAAGTCTTTTTGCACTTATGCTAAAATACTTAATTTTCTAAAATTAGGTCAAGCCGAAGAAAAATTCCTTTTCATTATTAATTGTACATTCAGCAAACGCTAATTAAGCATCTCCAAGGGCTAGACGCAGGGGATTAGAAGATTTAAATTGAAACAGTAGTGATAGTTGGCATCAGTTGTGGCCTACGGGGTGCAGGCACCAGTTCTTAGCACTTTACACATGTTACTATAGAGTTTTTTTTGTCCCATGTCAGCAAAGAAACCGAAGCCTAGACTGCTTTAAGCTCCTTGCTGTGCAGTGGCTGACTAGTGGAACACTCAAGCCTCTCAGGTGCTCATGGGATGTCAGGAGCAATTATAGTTTGCAGGAAAAAAAAAGAAAGGGTTAGGGAGGCTCCCATCTCCAGGGCACCGGACCTGGGGATGAGAGTCACTGAAAGGAGAGGTATGAATGGTGGTTGCCAAGGTGGGGCAGGGATTGGAGAAGGGCAGGACAGCTGCCATAGGGACAAGGAACTGTGAACCATTACAGATTGTTGGGATCTGGTGTGTTTAAATTGCACTCAGCCGGGCATGGTGGTGCTCAGCTTTAATCCCAGCACTCCCGAAGCAGAGGCAGGTGGATCTGTTTCTTCCAGGCCAGTCAGCCGGGGCAAGTTGACATAATGAAACCCTGTCTAAAAAAAAAAAAAAAAAAACACTCCATGCTGAGGTCTCCTGGGGTTTTCCACCTTGCAAGATTCTCTTCTTTAGGAATCTTTAAGATCAGCTGAGCTGCCAGCTGGGCCTCTGCTCCTGGATGAGGAGCCCAGCATGGTCCTGAGCATCTTACTCTGAATCATGTACCTCCCTCTCAGCCTCTTCTAAGAGGAAACACCAAGACCCGCCAGTTTTTCTTGACACCCCAGTTAGATATATGTTCTCTAACCTACCCTTCCCAGCTCTCTGGACTGGCCTTCTCAAACTGACTTTCTAATACCCTCTTGCCCAGTGTGGCCATCAGGAGCCCTGGCAGACCATGGGCAGAGGAGAGACCAAGCAACTACCTTTCTTCTCTCTGCTTGGAATGTTATTCCAGTTTGCCTTCAATTGCTGTGACAAAACAACAACCAGTACCAACTTGGAGAAGAAAGAGTTTATTTGGCTTACATCTCCTGGGTCACAGTTCATCACTGAGGGAGCCCAAGGTAGGAACTCAGGACAGAAACCTGGAGGCAGGAGCTGAAGCACAGGGCATGGAGGAACACTGCTTACTGGCTTGGTCCCCGGTCTGTGCTCTCCAGCCCCCATGCTCAGCCTGCTTTCTTATACAATACATAACAACCTACCCAGGGGTAGCACACCCATAGTCAACAATCAAGAAAAGATCCCACAGATAAGGCCACAGGCCAGTCCAATAGAGGCAATTCCCCAATTGAGGCTCCCTCAATCCAGGTGTGTCAAGCTGACAACTAAAGCTCTCCAGCACAGATTTCCAGCTGTGGCAGTCTCTGTACGAGATCCCTCACTGCTACCCTACTCTTTAAGACTGTGGATTCCTCCCCATGGTCACTGCAAGGGCCTATCAGGAGCCCTTTTAGAAAGTGCCTTGACAGAAGAGCTACATTGCCCTTCATAGGAGGTCCACATTGACTCCTCAATAAAGGATAAAGGTCTAGTCCTCTTGCCCAGACCTGTGCCATCTCTGAAGAGCATTCCCTGCTTGGCAACTCCCAGCTAGGGGCAACTGAGGCCTTCTTAGATTGCAGGACAGCCCAGCTGCTGCTCCTGCCCCACCCAGCTTCTTCCCTTCCCTTGCCAGGCACCGCTTGCTGGGTGTTAGTTCTCATTGCAAAATGAGTGTGCCTCCTGGGGAACCCAGCCCATGGCACCCCCTCTTCATGAACCTCAACTCCAGGGACTCTGGCTCCTGGGATCAGGTGGTGCCACATTGTCCTCCAGCCCCAGGATGGCAGCCACTTCCTAATGTTGTTAAATTCTGAGTCACCTTAGCGGTATGTTCTATTTCTGCTTTTTCCAATACCTTAGGGACCAGTTCCCCCACATTGAATTCTTTTCTACTAAACCTCTTGGCCTGGTTCTGTTCGCCTTTTAGCGCCTTCTCTACCCCCCTCAACTTAGTTCAAGTCTGTCTCCTGGATTCCTGCAGAGAGCTTCTGAACCACAAAACCATCCTTCCAGCCAACAGCAAGTCCCTACCATATGCCAGGGCACCTACTAAGTGCCAGAGTTTAGGTATACACAAAGCAAGACTGTCCTCTATCCCCTCGATCCATTCTTTTTTAAAAAATATTATTTTTCTTTTATGTGTATGAGTGTTTTGCGTGCATGTATGTAAGTGCACCCATATCATGCAATGCCTGCAGAGGTCAGAAGAGGGTATGAGATCCCCTGGAACTGGAGTTACAAATGTAACAACCATTACATTAGCTTTCATATGGGTGCTGAGAACAGAACCAAGGTCCTCTACAAGAGCAGTGCTCTTAACCGCTGAGCCATCTCTCCAGCCCACCTCAATCCATTCTTTACACAGCTATGAAGTTATTTCTGAAACTTGAACCTGATCACATCAGGCCTCAGCATAATACCCTGAAGAGACCCTCAGAGAAAATCCACACCTCACACTAGCCCTCTTTCAGGTCCCACTGCCCTTTTAAGGCTCATCCTTCTTACCTCCTGGCCTCTGCCCTAGCCATGCCAGGTCCTGGCAGAGCCCCAAACACAACTGCCAAATCACACCTCTGCACTGTTGCCCATAATGTTCCCTGCCACTGGAATCTCTTTCCTCCTTCTGCCAAGCTAACGAGCTCTTACTCATCCTTCAAAACACCATCTAATTTCCCCAGCACCTGAAATCAGACATACATATCCCAAAGTAATGAAATCCCATCTCTTGTGAACCTACCATTGAACGCCCTTCCCAGGAAAGAAGAATCTAGACTTATTCACTCAGCACCATGCCCAGGGTTCATCATAAAGAGGGCTTCAGAAAGTGTCCACAGAATACATTACTTGAGGGCAGAGGGTCACCCTCAGGCCAGCTGGAAATGAGAGGTGGGGGAAAAAACAGCATTTGGGCAGAGACAGGGCTAGAGACTACAGGACAGGTTTCAGAGTTAGACACAGCTCTGGAAGGCAGTAGGGTATAGCTGGTCCAAGAAAAGAGAGAGTTAAGCATTGGGGCTGCGTGCCCAGGAAGGTGCACATGGACCTCTGGCAGCGCCTGCCGTTAGGTAGGCTGATGGACAAGGGAGTGAAAATTGTCTTGATGTGGGACCTGGGATTTCGTTTCTGACAAGTCTGGACTGAACTTCCCTCCCTCAGACACTGACCTGACAAGCCAACTGCCCTTTATGTTCCTCAATTGCCTCACCTGTGAAATGGGCACAAGAAAGCCCTGCTTTTCCTCCCCAGCAAGGCAAAGAACAGGTACAAGTGTGAAAAGTGCTTTGGGGTAATCAGCCCATGCCAGACTGTGAGGTGACCAGGTGTGGATCGCCTGGGCCCTGAACATTATTTGCTTAATTAATATTCATTAAGGGCTTGCCATAGGCCCGAGTTGAAACAGGCTTTTAAGTGAAAACCAAATCAATGAATAAAACATGAAAGTCAATAGGATGCAAGTAGGAAGTCATTCTTCCCTATTAAACAGCATCT